CAATTCATACGCTTCGTGGACCCATAAGTATTTCCACCGACAGCCCCACTGGCTGCGTCCGCATGGTGACCCGCGACATTTCGGCGCACCCCTCACACGTTTCGTGGCCCCATGGGGGGCTCCACCGAATGCCCCCGTGGCTGCGTCTGCATGGTGGCCCGCCCCATTTCGGCGCACCCCTCACACGTTTCGTGGCCCCATCGGGACCTCCACCGAAAGCCTCAGCGGCTGCGTCCGCATGGTGACCCGCGACATTTCGGCGCACCCCTCACACGTTTCGTGGCCGCATCGGGAGCTCCACCGAAGGCCCCAGCGGCTGCGTCCGCATGGTAACCCACCCCATTGCAGTGCCCCCCTCACGTTTCGTGGCCCCAGAAAGGGGGCTCCATCGAAGGCACCAGCGGCTGCGTCCGCATGGTGGGCCGCCCCATTTCGGCGCACCACTCGCCCGCTTCGTGGCCCCACAAAAAGCCGCTGACTCGTGAGTGGCGTGCGTGAATGAAGCGGCTTCGAGTGTAGTTTTCCTTCTGTTTCTTGGCGAAGTGTTCAGGGGTACTGCAGATCCCAGTCAGTTTATTTGCATTGAGCGTTCCTGGCAGTATGTGCCACGCGTTTACCATCCATGGGTTGGGTTCTTCGCCTGGGTAGTTAGATATTTTTATCATGCTTGCTTTTCGGTCGTCCAAGGGCTCAAAATGTTTCAAGAGCCCCCGCCCGCTCGCCCGAAGACGAACCAACGCAGCCCTAAGCCCAGAATGGTCGAAGAGTGCTCCGAGACGACGGGGTCAGGCCCCGCAAAGCCTCCAGATCGTGACCCGAAAACACGGCCTGAAAAATCCGCCAGAGGCCCCCAAGCAGCCCACCAGCAAGCCTCTCAGGGCCTGAAAGCCCCCTCTCCCCCCCAGGGTGCCTCCGAGAGCCCCCCCCCCGGACACCCCACACGAGACCGCCAGAGGTCTCTAACAGGCCTCGCGTCGACAACGCAACCACCCCGACTTCGCAAGGCTACGCCAGGAGGGACGTCTTCGGGCGTGCGGATAAGGGGAGGACCCATTGATGGCTGGTTGAGCGGATGGGTAGAAAGATCGTGACATTGCCGATTGAACGCGCGCGTGTAGGCATCCGCAAGCGGTCAGGTTCCGCGAGGCCCCCATAACCACCCCGAGTGCTCGCACAACCCCAGAGCTGACCTCAAAATCCCCAATCTGCCTTCAACTACGTTGAAGACGCGTGGAACGGCAATTGGCGAATAATCCCTGCCTGCCTGCGACACCACGTGACCGAAAGTCCGCCCGATTTCGCGCGTGCGTCCAGGCGCAACCACCGCGGCGTCCACCAATGCGATTGTGCACGAAGCGCGCGTTTTGCACGCAGCACGCAATGATTCTCAAAAACTCGTTTTGTGACAAAGGAAGCCACGACTCGGCAGCGCGCGAGGCGCGCTTGCAAAGTCCGACTGTATGCGTGTGTATGTCGTTCCTCGCAGCGCGGATGAGGAAGGAGGAGGAGGGGGAGGAGGGGGAGGAGGAGGAGGATGAGGAGAGGAGGAGGAGGAGGAGGAGGAGGAGGAGGAGGAGAGGAGGGGAGGAGGAGGAGGAGGAGGGGAGGAGGAGGAGGAGGAGGAGGAGGAGGAGGAGGAGGAGGAGGAGGAGGAGGAGGAGGAGGAGGAGCAGCTCGTTGTGTTTGCACTGCTCGCTTTTCAACGCAACGTGCCCGTCGCCTGGACGGGCAAACGTAATCAGGGGCAGCAGCGTGGACTGGGGATTTCCCGCTGCAGTGTCCCGGTGGAGAACCGCGGGTCACGCCCGCAGGCCGCGAGGAGGACATCCACCTCCATCCTCCTTGGCGTCCACCACCTCATCCTCCTCAGTCCTCCGCAACAAGCGCCGGCTCGTGCACCTTCTCAAGCAGCGCCACCCTGGCATCCCCCTCCCCATCGTCCTCCTCCTCCTGGCCATCCTGGTCCTCCTTCTCCTCCTCCTCGTCCTGCTGCTCCTCCTCCTCCTCCTCATCCTCCTCCTCGTCCTGCTGCTACTCCTCCTCCTCCTCCCTTACCTCCTCGTCGTCGTCGTCCTCCTCCTCCTCCACCTGCTCCTGCACCAGATCATGGATAAGACGCGGCAGGCTGCGTGAATAAGGCGGCGCCGATGCACCTACATCCGCGGGCACCTTGCGCGCGGGTGAACGCGCAATCGATCCCCGCGGCATCGCCCCCCCAACTTCAAACTAGGCGGTGCAACGGACCGCTTCTGTCAAAGCCTCGTCTCCCCCCGTCGGGGGCGGTTAACCCACCCATCCCGCTAGCAGACCGTGGAGGCCTTGGATAAGGAATCCAGGGTCTGGAACCTTGTGGAGATCCACCTGCGTGGAACGGGGGGGGCAGAAGTTGTCCGCCCCTCATCATTGTGAGCTCTCTACCCTCCCTCCATCTCTTCTCCCCCCCCTTACTTCCTCCTACCTCCCTCCCCCCTCCCCCCTCCCCCCTCCCTCCCACCTCCCTCCCACCCTTCCCCCGCCTCAGATCCCCTGGAGGAGGGCGGCAGGTAAGCGGCGCGGTTCCAGTTGCGCGCCCGCGGGCGGGTTGAAATGTGTCGCCCACTTGGGGTTGCGGTTGCGCTCCCGCGGGCGGGTTGAAATGTGTCGCCCAGTTTCGCTTGCGCGCCCGCGGGCGGTTTGAAATGTGTCGCTCAGGTGCGGTTGCGGTTGCACGCCCGCGGGCGGGTTGAAATGCGTCGCCCAGTTGCGGTTGCGCGCTTGCGGGCGGCTTGACATGTGTCGCCCAGGTGCGCTTGCGGTTGCGCGCCCGGGGGCGGGTTGAAATGTGTCGCCCAGGTGCGGTTGCGGTTGCGCGCCCACGGGCGAATTTCAATGTGTCGCCCAGTAACGGTCGCAGATGCGCGCCCGCGGGCGGGTCGAAATGTATCGCCCAGTTGCGGTTGCGGTTGCGCGCCCGCGGGCGGGTTGAAATGTGTCGCCCACTTGCGGTTGCGGTTGCGAGCCCGCGGGCGGGTTGAAATGTGTCGCCAGTTGCGGTTGCGGTCGCGCGCCCGCGGGCGGGTCGAAATCTGTCGCGTAGTTGCGGTGCGGTTGCGCGCCCGCTGGCGGGTTGAAATGTGTCGCCGAGTTGCGGTTGCGCGCCCGCGGGCGGGTTGAAATGTGTCGCCAGGTTGCGGTTGCGGTTGCGCGCCCGCGGGCGGGGTGTCGGTTGCGGTTGTTATTGCACGCCCGCGGGCGGGCGAAATGTGGCGCCAGTTGCGGTTGCGGTTGCGCGCCCGCGGGCGGATTGAAATGTGTCGCCCAGTTGCGGTTGCGCGCCCGCGGGCGGTTTGAAATGTGTCGCTCAGGTGCGGTTGCGGTTCGCGGGCGGGTTGAAATGTGTCGCCCATTGCGGTTGCGGTTGCGCGCCCGCGGGCGGGTTTGAAATGTGTCGCCCAGGTGCGGTTGCGCGCCCGCGGGCGGGTTTGAAATGTGTCGCCCAAGTGCGGTTGCGGTTGCGCGCCCGCGGGCGGGTTTAAATGTGTCGCCCAGGTGCGCTTGCGGTGGCGCGCCCGCGGGCGGGTTGAAATGTGTCGCCTAGTTGCAGTTGCGGTTGCGCGCCCGCGGACGGGTCGAAATGTGTCGCCCAGTTGCGGTTGCGCGCCCGCGGGCGGTTTGAAATGTGTTCTTCAAAGTGCTTTCCGGACGTTCAGTCAGTCAACCATGTCAGTCAATCAATCAGTCAGTCAATCAGTCAGTCAGTCACCGGCGGGCACGGAATTTCACCCGGCTCCGCCGGGAATAAAGAGAGAGAGAGAGAGATAGCCGAGGAGCAGTAGGATAGAGTGAGGAGAGAGAAGGGGGATAGGGAGGACGAAATGCAGGAGAGAGGATGAGGGAGGGCGAAGTGCAGGAGAGAGAAGGGGGAGCGGGAGGACGAAGTGCAGGAAAGAGAGAGAAGGAGGAGCGAGGATGAGGGGGGCCGGGACGAGGTGCACAACGAGGAGAACGAGGAGTCCCCCCTCCTTCCATGCCTCCTCCCTTCTGCTGCTACTTCTCGTCCCTCCTTCTCCACCGACGCTTCCTCCGGCTTCCCCAGCTCTTCATCTCTTCTGTTTCTGCCATTTGAAAACCCAGGTGGGTGGGGGGAAGACGGGGGCGGACAACTCAGCGACAACGCTATTCAGAAAGGCAAGCGTAAAACCAATGAGCAAACCTGTTGAACAGCATACCCGCAGAGCGGTGGCATCGATACATAAGCGAATGTGCAAAAACATGTTTGGAGATAGAGAGGGAGATATATACATATATCAACACAACACATCTGATAAACCTCTCGGCTAGCGTCTTAGAGTGAGACAACATGTCGCCAAGCAAGCGGGGAGTCCTACTCGTGCCGACCTCCAACAATAACAAACACGGATTCCACCATTGCCTGCGCGAAGACTCGACGTATGTGATGAGCCTGCATCCCGCGAGACTTTTGGCAACCAACTATTTCTGGCACTGAACGTTGGCTGGGGGGGTTAAACCGGAGCAAAACGAGAATGAGAGATACAATGCTCGGACAAAAACTAGCACAATTATGAACAGAGGAAAGCGGCGAAATAAGGGAGAGAAAAAGAAGAAAGGATCCCGCGTGCCAACATGTTCAGACCGTACAAAACGCCGACATAAAACTAACAAACTTATAAACAAGAAACCGAAACAAGCGGGCACACGCGATGAGCATACCAGAGGCGAGGAAGTAAGACGAGGACGAGGGATATGGGAGAGGATAGGAACTAAAGAGGTGCCAAACCACTACCTCAAGCACGCTGCCACTACCTCTGGTCGGAACTGGCGATCATGTCACGATGCTCTGCCGCCCCAGTCTTGCACTACTGCTCGAGAGCAGGGCAACACTGCTGGGCACTTGGCGCCCGCTTGCCACGAACCTGTCCTCCTCCTCCTCCTCCTCCTCCTCCTCCTCCCCTCGTCTTCCTCCGGCTCTTCTGCCTCCTCCTCCTCCTCCTCCTTCAGGCTGCTGGTCCGCCAAGCAACCTGCGCGGTGTCGCCAGACGTGGCGTCCATGAGCAGCTGCGCCCTGGGCTGCAGAGTCAGCAAGCTGAGGGTCAGGGTGGACCTGAGCTGCTCCTCCCCCGTTCTCCTCCGCGCTCCTCCTCCTGGTTTCCCTCCTTCTGCTCCTCCTCCTCCTCCTCCTCCTCTTCGTCCTGGTCTTCCTCCTCCTGCTCCTCTTCCTCCTGCTCCTGCTCCTGCTCCTGCTCCTGCTCCTGCTCCTCTTCCGCTTTCTCCTCCTCTTCCTCCATCTTCTCCTCCCCTTCCTCCTGCTTCTCCTGCTTCTCCTGCTTCTCCTCCTCCTCCTCCTCCTCTTCCTTCTCCTTCTTCTCTTCCCTTCTTCTGGACCTCCTCCTCCCCCTCCTCCAATCAAGATCGATCGTCGGATCGGCCGATGGAGCGCCGGTTCTGGGGGGCGGGCAGCTGGTGGCACAGCACCAGCCTGCTCGCGCTGTCTTTTCCGGCAGGGCACTTCTTGTCAGAAGTGGGAGGAGGAGGACGAGGAGGACGCGAAGGAGGACGAGGAGGAGGAGGAGGGGGAGGAGGAGGAGGAGAAGGAGGAAGAGGAAGATGGAGGGAGGGCGGGTGGGAGGCAGAGGGGGATGCGGAGGATGAGCGGGAGCTTGAGGGCGAGGAGGGATGGGGAGGAGCATGCTCAGGATGTGGATGATGATGATGTTGAGGATGGTGCTGCGGGTCATGACAACGATGATGGTGAGGAAGGCCACAATGATGATGCTGATGATGATGCTGCTGATGATGTTGACGACGACGATGGCGACGACGACGATGATGATGATGATGATGATGATGATGATGATGATGCTGATGACGATGTTGATAATGATGGTGATGATGGCGATGATGATGCTGCTGCTGATGATGGAAGTGATGATGATATTGATGCTGATGCAGGTGACGATTGTAATGATACTGCTGCTGATGATGATGGTTAGGATGATGTGATGATGATGGTGAGGAGCATGGCAAGGACGAGGATGAAACCACACGACAAGGAAGATGATGAGGATGAGGGGGGAACTTTAGGAGGAAGGCCCTCTCCAACCTGGAAGAAGCAGTTGCACGCTCCGTAACACCCCAAAAGCCCCCCCCCCCGACGTCCCCCTTCCTCTGAGGCACTGCCGGGGGCGCGAGCGCCCGCCAGTGGGCATCCTTCTCCCCCTCCTCCTCACCCTGCCCTGCTCCTGCTCCAGGTGGAGCGGGAGGAGGACGCGGTGGGGGGGGAGGAGGATAAGATGAGGGATGGGGGACGAGGAGAGGGAAGAGGAAAAGAGGGAGGTGGAGGGAGGGGGATGATAACGAGGAGGAGGATGAGGAGGAGGAGGAGCGGCTATGGAACCATGGCGAACGCGTGATTCCCAAGTGCTAGCCTGACTACCTCACCACAACCGCCTGGGGAAACGCATTCCCGACTTTGGCGGGAGCCCCCGGGCGATCCGACCAATGGCTTCCAACCCTCTCCTGATGGGCTCCCGACGTTCGTCATGAATGCGTCTTCTGCTGCGCATCGCACACCACCAACAAGAAGAACGTAACACTAGACCATATGAGTGGGCCAGGGTATGAGTCCCGTGGCACTGGACGGTCAAGGGGTGAGTTGGAGAATCACTTCCGTCGCCCTCCGGACCGTCCAGATGGGGCCCTTCCGCCTGGCTAGGCGCATCGACGCGCAGAAGCTCGCTGGCCGCACGCGCGCCATGCCGACACACTAAAAGAACTCCTCGCTTCGATATATTTTAAGACACCGTGCTCGACATGCCATCGTGGTCGTCAGCGGCGCGGGTGGGTGTCCTGCCTCGCGCGCGTGCGCGAGTCGACTCTGAACACTCGTGCGCGCGGCACGCGCTCGCTCGTGCTCGTGCCCGAGGCACGTTCGCTCACGCTCACGACGGCAGATGGCAGCAGCCACTGGCTGAATAGCAGCAGGGCGCCGCACCGCGTCGGTGCTGAGCTTATCTGCGTCGTGTGTGGTGGCCTTTGAACCTGCTGGGGCGGCCCCTCGGTGGGCCGCGCTTCAGACACAGCCATCCGCAGTTCTGTTCAGGAATTGTTCGATGGTCGTTCAGCTTTTGGGCGCCGGTTTTGGCTCCAATGGACGGGCTTCTGTCTTGGTCCAGAGGAGGTGAAGACGTCCGTCGCGCTAGTCCAGCATCTTCCGCAAACAAACCCACACATCGAACACGTCCGGGTGAGGCTGGGCCCATCAACAGTTCCGAGGCCTGACCGTATGCCAACAACCGGATACCAACAACACGTGCAGTCGCATATCTAAGCGCCTAGCTGGCAGCCAACAAGTGAGTACGGGGCGACTGCTGCTCGAGGCCGCCACGCGTCCCAGCCACGCCGCCGTCAATAGAAAGCAAGAAAAAGCGCTGGGTCTGTGGCGGGTCCAATCGCAACGCTGTGATCCGGGGTCCTCGCCCTCTGCCCCCCCCAGTCAGGTCGATGTCCGTGAAGTGGGGATGGGGAGGACGAGTGGGGGGGGTTTTCGTCATCGGTCCCCTTGAGGGCATGAACTATGCTAGCGCTGCAGCGCGGAACCAGCGTCGGGAAATCAAGACACAGCAACCTTGAGCAGGATGCTGTGACAAACAGAACAAACTGAAAAACACGGGGCGGGCGGGGTGGCTCTTCAGGTTTATTTCGGGAAGAAGCCTAGTGTAAACCCAAGGCGCCTCACCGATGTTGCAATACACCCTCCGAGTTCCCCAGGCCCTGCCTCCAGATTCACTCTTGATCGGCCCTGCAACAGTTTAGCTTTATTGCGGGACGTGGCCCGTTAGAAGACAGTCGTCTGAGAACCCCCAATCGAGCCAAAACACTGTTCCTGCGAATTGAACGCTGCGGATCAACGTGACTGTTGCGTTTGCCATATCTAAGCCGTGTCAGAACACCATGCTTAGTACTTCAGCACCACGAATCAAGGTAACTGTTGAGTCCAGACAACCCTAAATCGTTCCAGAAAGCAGTTCCTGGAAACTCGACCATACATATCCTTGGGACTGCTATCGACTTTTGCGGCGACAATTCGCGGCACCCAGGCGAGAACCACATTTTGAAAAGCCCCGCCCTCTATCCGTGAAGCTGTTGCAAGCGCGTTGAAAACGAATGCGCGCGGCTCTGAAGGGAGAACCGCATTTTGAAACGACCCGCCGTCCATCTGTGAAGCTGCGGCAAAACTTAACAACGAATGTGCGCGGCGCTGGGGCAAGAGCCATATCTTGAAAACGAGCCGCCATCCATCCGTGAAGCGGCTGCGAACTTCCAGCTTCAACATGGCAGATGGCTAAGACACCTCGGGCGAAACGCCCGGCCCGCCCCACCGACGCGCCTGGGGGCGCGACAGGGAGGAGTAGTTTCTGTAGGAGGGGAGGGATGGAGACGAGCGCACCTGAGGAACCCTTCCTTCTTCCACTCCTCGTGCCCAGACGCCGTTCCTGCGAATTGGACGCTGTGGATCAACGCGACGGTTGCGTTTTCCCATATCTGAGCCATGTCAGAACACCATGTCTAGTACCTCAACACCACGAATCGAGGTGACTGTTGAGTCTAGCTGAGGAACCTTTCCACGCCAGGAGAACCTTTCTACGCCAGGGGAAGGAGGAGGAGGAGACGAGCGTACCCCGAAGGAGGAGGGGGCGCTGGAAGGGAGGAGGACGAGGAGGAGGAGGAGGAGGAGGAGGAGGAGGAGGAGGAGGAGGAGGAGGAGGAGGAGGAGGAGGAGGAGGAGTAGGAGTAGGAGAGGAGGAGGAGGAGGAGGGAGGAGGAGGAGGAGGAGGAGGAGGGGAGGGGAGGGGAGGAGGAGGGGGAGGAGGAGGGGGGGGGAGGAGGAGGGGGAGGAGGAGGAGGAGGAGGAGGGAGGAGTTCCGAGCGATGCCAAACCGTTGGGGCGGCCTGGACGCCCCCGAGCCGTGCCGCCCGGGCGCGCCCCTCGGCCAGGAGAGCCTTTCCACGCCGACTGTCTCGACGCAGGAGCACCACGCGGCGCGGGGGGAAGGCACGTGCGGGCCTCCCGTCGAAGCCGCGAAGGACAGCGCCGTGGGCGAGGCGGGTGGCGGCGGAGGAGGGGAAGGAGGGGGGGAAGGAGGATGAGGAGGGGGAGGGGGATGATGATGATGATGATGATGATGATGATGATGATGATGATGATGATGATGATGATGATGATGATGATGATGATGATGATGATGAGGAGGAGGAGGAGGAGGAGGGAGGAGGGAGGAGGAGGAGGAGGAGGAGGAGGGAGGAGGAGAATGGGGGATGAGCTTGTGAGGAGAAGGAGGGGGAGGAGGCGGACGCGGAGGAGGGGGGGAGGACGAGGAGGGCGAGTAGGAGTAGGAAGAGGAGGAGGAGGAGGAAAAACAGGAACAGGAAAACAGGAGAAGAAGGAGGAGGAGGAGGAGGAGGAGGAGGGAGGAGGAGGAGGAGTAGGAAGAGGAGGAGGAGCAGGAGGAGGAAGGGGAGGAGGAGGAGGAGGAGGAGAGGAGGGAGGAGCAGGAGGAGCAGGAGGAGTAGGAAGACGAGGAGGAGGAGGAGGAGGAGGGGGAGAAGGGGAAGGAGGAGGATGGGGGAGGAGGGGGAGGAGGAGGAGGACGAGGACGGCGAGCACGAGGGCGACAAGGCAACACCAGCCTGCTCATGCGCAGCCGGAGGGCGGCGTCCTCCTGCGGCGGCTCCTCCTCGTGGGCGGCTGCAGGCCGGGGGGAAGTCCCAGAGGGGTCTGAGGACAGAGGCCTCCAATGGTCTGGTCGAGGAGGGGGAGAAGGAGGAGAAGGAGAGGGAGGAGAGGTTCAGGATCGAGACGGCCTAGTAGAGACAAGGAAGAGCAGGATAATGAGAAGGAAGCGTAGGAGGAGGACGACGACGATGACGATGACGATGTAATGGCGATGACGATGAGGATGGCGATGACCATGCTGATGACGATGATACCGCTGACGGTGATGATGGTGCTTATGATGATGATGACGATGACGATGATGGTGCTGATGATGATGCTGATGATGACGATGGTGCTGATGACGATGATGACGATGATGCTGATGCTGCTGCTGCTGATGATGATTGTGATGATGGCGATGATATCGACGACGATGACGATGATGCTGATGATAATGATAATGCTGATGATGTTGATGAGGACTATGATGACGATGCTGGTGCTGATGCTGCTGCTGATGATGGTGGTGATTATGAAGACGACGACAACGCCGACGACGATGCTGATGATTCTGATGATGATGGTGATGATGATGATGCTGATGATGCTGCGTGTGCTGCTGATGCTGCTGCGGCTGATGCTGATGCTGCTGATGATGATGGTGGTGATGATGACGATGGCGACGACGATGATGATGCTGATGCTGCTGCTGCTGATGATGATGATGATGATGCTGATGAGGGTGATCGTGATGATGATGATGCTGAGTATGGTTATGTTGTTGATGATGATGATGATGATGATGATGATGATGCTGATCATGATAATGTTGATGCTGATGCTGATGCCGCGGATGATGAGCATGATAATGCTGATGATGATCTGGCTGCTGCTGCTGCTGCTGATGCTGTCGATGCTGATGTTGCTGCTGTTACTGCTGCTGCTGATGATGCTGCTGCTGATAATGATGATCACGAGGATGCTGATGCTGAATTTGTTGATGATGCTGATGATCATAGTTTTGGTGGTTCTGATGACGATGGCGATGACGATTATGCTGCTGCTGCTGCTGCTGGGGAGGAGGAGGAACATGAGGGGCGATGAGGAGCGAGCGGGTGCGAGGAGGAAGAGGATGAGGAGGACGAAGAGGAGGCGGAGGAGGAGAAAGACAAAGAGGAGGAGGAGGAGGAGAAGCAGGAGGAGGAGGAGGAGGACTATTGGCTTTTGTTTGTTTTGCCGCGCGGTCCACATGCGCTAAGGCGTCGAACTCCTCAACCACGACATCTAAAGGCGGCCAGAGATCCGGGAGGCGTGCCATCATCCTGGCGACGCGAGCAGAGGGCGAGGGAGAGGAGGAGAGAGAGAAGAGAGCAACACATGCACGTGCTCCACAAGGCGTCGGGGAACGCGAGACGCCAGCGCAACTAGGCTGTGAAGAGGCGTGGGGGAGCAGACAGCGTAGCCAGGCAAGGGGGGGCAGCGTGAGGAAAGTGCCAGGCGGGAGGAGGCGACGTTCGCGGCGGGCCCCTCCACGAGCCCCAGCACGACGATGACGATGACGATGACGATGACGATGATAACGATGACGATGATCACGATGACGATGCTGATGATACTGATGATGATGATGGTGATGATGATTATGATGATTCTGATTATGATGATGATGCTGATGCTGATGCTGATGACGAGGAGGAGGATGAGCAGGAGGAGGATCACAATGAGGAGCGAGGAAGAGGGCGGGTGTGTTCCTCGGACTCCTTCTCCCAGCTGCTGCCGATTTCAGTTACGTGCTCTAAGCCATGGCGGGCTGACTTGCCTGTTCCACTTCTCTTCGGCACTCTATGTTCCTGCACTTGCTGACAGCTGTACTTAGCCACATCGCTTGAGTCGGTTCTCTCTCTCTCTCTCTATCTCTCATTTGTTGTTCCCATCACTCCTTATGATGTCAATCTTGCCGCCCAGATGCTAATGTCATCCGATCAAAATCCTGCAACGCGGGAAAGCGAGGAGGATGAGGATGATGAGAGGAATCGCTTCTCGTCCTCCTGCTTCTACCCCGACCTCCTCCTCGCCTCTGCCTTCTCCCCAGGGGGGGCCTCTGAGGGATCAGGCTCTCCTCCTCCCGCTCCTTGCTCCTCCCTCCCACTGCTTCTACCCCCCCTCCCTCTTCGCCTCCCCCCCACCACTCCGTCTTCTTGTCCTCCTACCCCCACCCCCGCCCCTTCTACTCCTCCCCCGCCGCTCCCTCTACCCCTCACCCCCGCATGCTTCACGTCTCCTCCCCCCTGACTCTTACTTACTTACGTTCCCATTCGCGCCACAAAACTTCACTCACACGACGGCGCTGGGCAGCTCTACCCTGAAAGGAGCTAAGCTTTTCAAAGGGGGGTTCAGCCTCGCGGATGGGCCCCCGAGGGCCCGAACACGCAAGGGCGGAGCGCCGCCAGAAGGCGGCCCACGGCCCCCCGCCCCAGGGAGCCAACCCCCCAGGACAAGGGGCGCGAGCGGGGGCGAGGCTGAACCCTACCTACTAAAAGCTCGACCCCCCGCCCGCTGACGGCCCGCGCGGGCCGCGGAGCCTCCATCTACTTCTTGCCCATGAGCTGCTTCGCCATGGGTCCCCTCGGCACCTTCCCGACCTTCTTGGACCCGCCCCATCCGCGCAGCATGATGCTGATCACGTGCATGAGGTCCGCCAATTTGACTCCCTCGATCATCTTGGGCGACTCCAGCGGGGATCGTTGCAGCACCTCTTCGAACTTCTCGTCTGTTGATGCGCCTGCCCATGCTTCCAGCTGCTGCTTGTTGAGAATCTCTGCCGACTTCTCCCCGCTGGCCACCAATATCTGGCCTCGAATACTGATTGTCAATCGTACCTTCTTCGTGTCGTACATCTGTGAGTACGTAAAGTCCTTGATCCACTCGCTGGCGTCCTCGCTCGAGCCATGCTGCAGCATGTTGAGCAACCTCGTGGGCAGCCCCCGATACCTCTTCATGTCGGGTGCCGTGCCATCCTCGGCGAGCCAGTTCTCGATATCGCTCAGAGCCTTCGAAAAAAGCTGGAGTTCTGGTGGCCCTCTCTGATGCTGGGCGCCTTCTTTCTTGACCAACTCGAGATAAGCTTGATATTGTGCTTGTCCGTGCTCCACTAGAACGTGATTGTGCGGCAAATGAATCTGCGTCTGTGTGAAATGTTCCTGGCTTCTCATGCGCGCCTCGAGCTGCACGATCATCCTGCGCGTCACCGTGTCGTCTGTCTCCTGCAGCTTGCGAGCTTTCTTGTCCTTCTCTCCCGTGGGCACCGCCTCCACTCCCATGATCCACGACATCTAGTTCAATCTGGTGCTGTTCCAGGTGTTGCGCTAAGTGTTCCAACAATATGTGCTGTCGCAGAACTTGAGACTCATCGGCAGAGAACGGACACAGACGGCATTGAGTCGTACGCATTCGGATTTCTCGACTCGATCTGCTTCTGTCTACGCATAATCCACGTGTCACTGCTGCGCTCATGTGTTTTTGTGCTTGCTCATATGTGGCGAACACTGCTCCGCATATAGTGCACTGGTTACTTACACAACATGCTCGAAATACAACTTGCCTTCCGTGAGTGCCACCTCGTGTATGTACATAGTGTGAAGCCAATCGGACCTTATCTGGAAATCGCGCCTGGCACGGGTTTCCTTCCTCATCCTCGGCCCAGCATTGGTACGCTCCTCCTTCCAGACGCTCGGGTCGGGCCACTTCATATTGGACACGATTTCTTGTAAAATGAGCCCGAAGTCCCAGAAGATCGAGTCTCAGGAAATCCTCTCGTCCCTCGGTAATGGCCCGAAACGGTTGACGCCCGTGCATGTCCAGGAATACTTCCCCGTCCTCGAAAATCTGGAGCCCCGAGACATCCTGGAGCCACTGTGAAGCCCATGGGTTCCCCTCTTTCCAGTTCTCATCTGTGATCTCCTCGCTCGTTTTTTGCCCGGCAGTCATCTTTCCAAATGCTGTGCCTGACACTTGATCCGCAGTAGTCAAATTTGCCAACATTTGCTGAAGCCACTTAAGCCTACGTATGCGTGCCTCCACGTACACACTCGCCATGCCTAAACTCACCATAACCTCCAAATTCGTGAGGGACCGAATCTCACCATCGCTTCGCTGCCTAGCTACCCCGCCTAGCACAACTCTCCCACGTTTAGCCAAAAAACTTTCAAGCGGTTGGAAGTCCTGCACTTTCATCGGCCCGTCGTACTTGGCGAATGTTTCTATCCCCGTCAAAATCGCATTGATAACATATCCCTTGAATATCGAAAGTTTCCATTTCATGCTAACATTGGAGGTCCAGAAGTTCCCCATCTGAGCCCAGGCCGTCTTTCCTGCTAAGATTCTGTACCCTGTCTCCACCGACATTGAAAATCTAGCCGTCATTCGGACCCCCAAATATCTGGCCGCAGCCGCACTATGTCCCTGGAATACGAGGTCCCTCAAGATATCCCTTTCCAACTTAAGCCCTCCAGTCCCACAGCAATAAGGAATAGTCTCTTGCTTGCTGATATTCTGCGCAAGACCCATTCCACCCAATATCCCATCGATCTGTTCGTTCTGTTTTTTTCCTGCAACTGGCGCTTGTATCTTGTCTCGAAACTGGAACGTATCAGCTACATCATCCACGAACATGGTCATCGCTGCCTGTTCGACTGAGCCCGTCCATGGTGAAACTACCTCAATCTGCATACACTCGTGCTGGGCGTAGTGGTAGAACTCCGCCGCGTACGCCGCAACAAAGAGGAAGACCATGACGGGGTCACCTGGCATGCAGCCCTCGCCCATGAGAAACAATCTATCAGGCGCTCCAGAAAAACAGAAATGTGCCCATCGAATTCTGTCCAGCATGATCGTTATGTGCTTTGGGTGGACGTGTTTCATGATCGCCTGGTTCAGCTTGCCCGTCCTGATAGAAAAAAATGCATTCGTAGCATCGTGAAGCCTTCTTGCATGTGGTGACCCTTGCCTCTTTAACCTCCATGCGCTGCACATCTGGACTAGAATTGCTCCTTCGCGGCGCCTATGTTTGAGGGCCCCATACGTCCAACTCGGGATTCCTGTAAAATCAACTTGCTGCAATATCCCACGAAAATGAAACTTTGCCAAACTGCATACCATCATCACAATTCTCTCGCCGTCGACTCCTTCTTTCTCATTGCCTTTACCAATTTGTGCCGCTTGTGCTCGCTTCCATGCAATCGGTACCTGCTGATTCATCAAAATGCCTTCCATGAGCGTCCACAAGAAGGCGTGAAAGTGGGGTGTGCACAGGTTCTCAAGCTCCGACTCTAGTCCCAGCCCTTGCCGTCGATGCATCATTCTCTTATTGAACCATTTCGGAAACATCATACATCTCAGCAACTCGGTGCTCGAACTCCACGGGGGGGAGGATCTCCATAACTTAGCCTTCCATGCCGCTCTCCTCATCTGCTTCAGCTCCTCAACTATCTCCTCCTGGGTGACACACACCTGCATGGTCATATCCCGTTCCCTCTGCATCTGGTCGGCGTCGGTCTCGATGGCGGAACATCCTCCTTTTGTGCCGGCCTTCTGCATCTTCGTGATCCACTCCTCAGTCGCTCCTGGGATGGCATGCCTACCAAATACTCGCTTCCGTCCCCCACGATTTCTTTGAGCTAAAAGCCTCGCCATCTTGTGCACCGTGTACGTGTCCTTAGCCTCCACCGCCCTCATAAACTCATTACATCTCATTTCTGTGATATCGGCCCAGTGTTTCCGCTTCCTCTGTGTTAGCCATCTGCTCACAATTCTTAGTCGATATGTTAGCTTGCCTATCGCCATGATACTCTCGACCTGCTGACTAGAAAAGCCTTGCTCGCTCAATTCCGAATACTGACTCGTGTCAATCGTACTTCTTTGTCGTACATCTGTGAGTACTCGTTCCGATCCACTCTCTGGCGCCGCACTCTCAGTCACTCGCATACTTTGCGATACTGGATCTGACTCATCGTTCACAACTCTCTGGAACTGCTCGGCGGTGACGTACCCATCGATCTTCACTGACACTTGTGGCCTATCATCATCGATCGGGATGGTCTCAAAGGCAGCTCGAAGATCACGGCGCTGTCGAAGTAATTGGCGAACCTCTCTAGCGTGTGCTGCATGATCTTCCTGATAAGCTCCGTTTTGTCCACAATGGGCCTCCGCTGCAGCTCTTATGGCTTCGTGGATTGCCTCATTCGCGAACTCTGCCTTCTTCGACCAATCAACGTCCCTGAGTTCGTCACGCTTGGTTGCCAAAATGGCTTCCGCATGCCTTACGAACGCCTGCCTCTGATCACCAAGCTGCAGCATCTTCGCCACGGCTTCTCTCGAAATTTTGGGTCCCTCTCGTGCCGACTCATATGGTAAGCTCACGATGCCCAAGTCGAAGCATGCTCCCAGCGGCACATGATCCCACAGCCCCTTTTGATTGTGAATCTGGAGTCTCCATGCAGACCTGATCAGCGTCTTACACCACATCGTAGCCTTGTGCCACTCCCGAGGTATGATTATGTAGTCCAGCGTCTTTGTCAACCCTTTGTTGAAGTACGTGGGCCCCCCCGATGTGAAAAATGTGTTGATGGCGCACAAGTCGTGTGCTTTCAAGCATGGCGCCATCAGCTCGCTCGTGAAGTTGAATTCGTGAAGGTGATGCCGGCCTGTCACTCCAGGAACCCCTGAGAACTGGCCGTTCAGATCACAGCACAAAATTGGAGACCACCTCGCACTTGTGACTTGTAGTACTCCATACAACCACTCTACCATATGCCGAATAGTCCTCTGCCATCTGTCTCGATGGTCTCGACCTCGATTGGGAGAGGGAGGGAAATACATCACTATCACCATCACTCTGAGCGACTCTCGTTCCATCCGAAACGCCCCGACCCGTCCTCTAAGGTTCTTGGGAGTCGGCATGAACCCTCGCAAGCATGACCTCGGGAATTTACGCTGATGCAGCCACACCTGTAACCCACACGATTTATTGACGTGAGGCGAAGGAGCCCATCCCCACTCAATTGAATAGAATTGCCCAGATCTCCGAATATTCCCAAGAACTTCCGACCCCTTCGCGCGGACCTGCGTCCCCACGAGGCAGATGATGTCGAAGTTGCTGAGCTCGCAGACCACATCCTGGGCGCGGTCCCCGCTTGCACAGAGAGGATTGAAACAGCATACGGCGACTCCACATCGGGCCGCCTGAACACCATCCTTTTCTCCATCATCGCTAGGCGTGTTCTGTACTGTCATTCAAAGGTGGAGTGTGTGGGGGGGAAACCCCCCCATTTTTGAGAAGATGGCCACCTCCCCCCTGACTCTCCTCCTCCTCCTCCTCCTCCTCCTCCTCCTCCTCTCACTCTTCCTCCTCCTCCTCCTCCTCCTCCTCCTTCTCCTCCTACTCCTCTCCCTTTCCTCCTCCTCCTCCTCCTCCTCCTCCTCCTCCTGCTGCTCGTCCTCATCTCCTCCTACTCCTCCTCCTCCCCCCCGTCCTCCTCCTCTCCTCGTCCTCCTCCTCCTCCTCCTCCTCCTCCTCCTCGTCCTCGTCCTCCTCCTCCTCCTCCTCCTCCTCCTCCTCCTTCTCCTCCTCCCCCCTCATCCCCATCCTCCTCCCAACCCCCTCCCCTTACCGAGCGAGGCGCGCAAACGCAGCCGCGCGCGAAGGCAACAGACGCCCCTCGGTGCGCACCAGCGCGAGGCGCGCCTGCCCCTCGATGCCCCCGCGCCTGCCACCCCTCGCCTGGACCCCCCCGCCGGCTCTGACTATGTCTCCGCGCTCCCGCGGAAGACCCCCCGCCGCCGTCGGTCGTCGGTCGTCTGTGGTAGCAGTCGTCGCTCGTCTGGGGGTGGTAGTCGTCGGCCGCAGTCGGTCGTGGGTCGTCGGTCGTCGCCGTCGTCGGTCGTCGTCGCCGTCGCCGCCGTCGTCGTTGCCGCGGCGGCTCCTCCGCCGTCGCGACGCGCGCGGCCGCGGCGTCGCCCTCGGCTTCAGGGCCGGCCGCCATCGCCGTGGACATCCCGCCCGCCGCCGCAACGGCCGCGTTCGGCCAAGGGCGCCGCCTCCTCCTGATCGTCCTCCTGCTCCTCGCCTCCTCCTGCTCGTCGTCGTGCTCCTCCTGCTCGTCGTCGTCTACTTCTCCTACAGACGGGTAGCTGCGGCAGGGCTGTGCCAGGTTGGTTCTAGCAGCAAAGCCTCCTCCTCCTCCTCCTCGTCTTTCTCCTCGATCCTCATCGTCCTCCTCTTCCTCCTCTTCCTGCTCGTCCACCCCCTCGTCCTCCTCCTCCTTTTCCTGCTGCTCGTCGTCGACGTCGTCCTCATTATCGTCTTTTTCCTCGATCCTCATCTTCCTCCTCCTTTTTACGTTGTTCGGAAATGAACTGTATAGATTTGCATTCTTGCGAGAAGCAAACATCCGCCGACCCAGTCGGCGTGTGTGAGACGCTGTCGTCGTCTTCATCGTTGTCGTCGTCGTCGTCGCCAGTCCCAAAGAAATCTAGAAACGAACAGCAAAAACAAATGTCGTAATAGAAACGTCGTCCAGCCCTGGCCCCGGCCCTCGGCCCCGGCCCCGTCGCCTACCAGACGCCCGCCTCCGAGGAGACACACGGTTCTCGTCCTCCTCCTCCTCCTGCTCCTGCACCTCCTCCTCCCCCTCCTCCTCCTTCTCCTCCTCCTCCTCCTCCTCCTCTTTCTCTTTCTTTTTCTTTTTCTTTTTCTCTTTCTCTTTCTCTTTCTCTTTCTCTTTCTCTTTCTGTTTCTCTTTCTCTTTCTCTTTCTCTTTCTCTTTCTCTTTCTCTTTCTCTTTCTCCTCCTCCTCCTCCTCCTCCTCCTCCTCCTCCTCCCCCTCCCCCTCGCCCTCCCTCTCCTCCTCCTCCGCCTCTTCCTCCTCCTCCTCCTCCCTCCACCGCTCGCCCCATGTCCCGACCTTGTGGCAGGGTCATCAGCTCGTCGTTGTCGTTGTCGTCGTGCTCGTCGTCGTGGTCGTGGTCGTCGTTCTTCTGCGACGGCGGCACCGGCCGCCAGGTCTTCCAAATAAAGGGCCGTCTCAGGCGCAGCGGCCAACCAGTGAGAACTAGGTGAGCGCAGCCGAGAGACAATGGGCGAGCTTCCTCCTCTTCCTCTTCCTCCTCCTCCTGCACCCCGTCGTCTTTCGCATGCTGCTCAGCCTCCCTCCTCCTCGTCCTTCATATCCGCCTCCGCCCCCAGCTCTTTCTCCAGCTGCCCCCTCTTCCCCCCCCCGGTGGGGGAGGAGGGTGCCCTGCGCCTGGGTGAGGGTACGGGTGGATGATGATGAGGAGGCTCGGGCGGGCGTCCCTCGCAGAGGCGCGGGGCGCGGGCGGGCGGGCGGCTCGAGGGGCTGAGCCCCTCGAGGCGAGGCGGCGAGGCGCGCGTCCCTCTGCGAGGGACGCGCGCCTCGCGGAGCGTACGCGGTCTTGGCGAACGTACTCTGGCCAGCTTAGATGAGCGGCCGCACGAGCCGCCTGGTGGGCCTGGCGAGCTGGAGCCTGGGGGGCGGGCTCGTGCTGGCGGGCCGAAGTTTTTGGTGGATGTGAAGAGCGAAGATGAGGATGGGCTCCTCCTCCTCCTCCTCCTCCTCCTCCTCCTCATCAGGAGGAGGAGGAGTAGGAGGAGGAGGAGGATGAGGAGGAGGATGAGGATGTGAAGACGAGAAGGACTACTCTTCCCCCTGTTATTTCCGCACTGGCCTGCAGGATCACTTTGTTGGCCACTGCGCCCGGTCCGGTGTGTTCGCGCGTGTTTCTTCCGTTGCCATATGAGTGCAACACCTGTGCAGCTTATGCTCGCCCAGCGTCAAAAACGAGGAGGATTCTGCGGAGGACTTTTGACTTGGCGACCGGGGGAATGGGTTCAAAACAAAATGGATGCAAGCAGTACTAAAGCCAGCAACCGTCGTGCTGTACACCTTCCCGATGCCCTGCCCAAGCTAGCACCAGCCCGAAATATTTTGCCCCACCGTACCATAGGGGCCCGTCCACAAGAAACCGTCCACAAAAAGCCCAACCCTGAGACCCCAGGACGCCCCTTGATTTTTGGCGTGGGAGCGTCACGCTTTCCGCAACGCGACCATCGAAGCCCAAGAAACCCAGGGCACACTGGAGGCAAGCAGGGTGTTTCTTGGCGCGGGCACCCACTGTGCAAGTCGTTAATTTCTAACCGAGCTCATTTTTTTTGCCGTGGCAATGCTTCGCGGCGCAACGGCTGCGCGCGAGCTGTAACGGCAGGCAGCCACTAGGCCACTCCGAAAAAGCAGCGCACCTCCTCGAAGATGCGCACGCCGTCCTTGGCGCCGACGCTGGTGTCCACCACCTCGGTCTCCAACTTCATGCCGACGCCCTCGACTCCTTGACCGCCGCCTCGAGGCTGCTCCAGATGCATCTCCTGCAGCAGCGACACGCACTCGCACGGCTCGAAGAACTTCACGATCGCCCCGCGCCACGCGTCGACATCGTCCTGCGGAGCTGCCACCTCCACAGCCTCCTTCACGGTCTGCTGGTGGCCGCCCCTCTCGGCCAGCCGCCAGCCTGCTGCCAAACCGTGCGCGAAGGCCCTTGCCTCCGCTCGCTGGTCGGCCTCCTGCCAAACGCCTGGCACCAGCCCACCTCCGCCGTTGAGCACGGTGCCCTCCGACGCCATGTGGTTGACGCTCTGTGAGTCGTCGTCGCCGTCCGACTCGTCCTCGCTGCCGACCTCCGTGCCAGCAAACTTGCCCACTCCGACGCCGTCCTCCGACGCCTCCTGGATGGGCCCATCATCGTCATCATCGTCCTCCTTCCTCCGCCCCTGCTGCCGCCAAGGAGCCCTGGAAAGAGAACACGCCAGGTTGAGCAACTTCGGCTCGAGCTCGGCGACGTGGATGACCTTCCCCTCGACCCCGAGCCACTTGCTGCCCCTCCTGATGTCGGGCTTCAGCTTCGCCTCCCAGTACACGCTGAGCGGCACCAGTGCCCGCTTCTCTTGCTCGCTCTCGCTCTCGACAGCCTCAGCGAAGCCGCGCACGTCGCAGTTCCCGTGCTCGGCCTCCTCCGCCTCGAGCTGAAAGCCCAGGCGGGGTCCCTGCGCCACCTCCGCGATCTCCTCGGCGGTCGCCCTGAGGAAGCCGCTCGGAGGGGCCCAGGCTGCGTGGATAGCCGCGTTGCGGCGCCGGCGCGATGCGCCCGCCACCCGCCGGCCCTCCACCGCGCTGACCAAGGCGGGCCTGGCCGCCCGCTCGCGGTCCTGCCATGACCCCGGCTTGCAGGGGCCCGCCACGGCATGGCACCATGCCTCCAGCGCCCTCAAGCGCCGCCGCCTGGCCGCCCGTCTCGCCGCAGAGGGGCCCAACACCAGGTTCTCCTGCTGCCTGAGCGCCTTGGGCTGCCAGCAGGCTGGCAGCCCCCCGCAGCCATTGCGCCCCGCCGCCCAGGCCGCCGCCATCGCAGGAGGCGCGCCGCCGCGGAGGACCCAGCTTCCCGCCTGAGCAGCGCGTCGAGCGCCGCCCCCTCGCCCGAAGCGCGGCCGCTGGAGGCTTGAGCCAAAATGGCTACGGCTAACCGAGCTCATTTCTTATTGTGCTCGTTTCTAATTGTTCCTGGCCCCCTAGTGGCCAGGAAGAGGCCCAGGATAAAACAATTAGAAATGACAGGATCTTGGCCACCCAAAAATCAAAGAACTTTCGAAACAATGGAAATGAACAGTGTGTACACTTGGCTTGCTGGCGCACTGCCCGGACGTAAACAGCTGGGAGGCCCGGGCTTCGCCCAGGCCCCTGGGAGACGCATTTTGCGCCTCCTCCCGGCCAGCCCATCCAGCAACACCAGAACCCTTCCAAGCCACAGTCTGAGGAGGAGGAGGAGGAGGAGAAGGAGGAGGAGGAGGAAGAGGTGGAAAGGGTGGAGGAGGAGGAGGAGGAGCAGGTGGAGCAGCAGGAGGAGGAGGAGGAGGAGGAGGAGGAGGAGGAGGAGAAGGAGGAGGACGAGGAGGCGGCGACAGCGGAGAAGGAAGAGGCGGACGGGGGAAGCGGCCCGCCGCAGGGACAGGACCCCTCGTGGCTCCCGCCGCCGGAGGCGCGCACGCGCGAGGCCGGCCGTCGCGAGCCCGGCAGCCAATTAGCGCGCCGCCGGGGGCGCGGGCCGAGACGGCAGCGGGCGCCGCCGCCGCCGTCGCCGTCGTCGTCGCAGCCGCCGTCGCAGCTGTCAAGGGAGCGCCTGTTTTTTCCCCCGCGGGATGACGATTAATACAAAAAATGGGAGAGAACGATTCAACAAATAGTTGTCTGCTATTTATGCACAATTTTCTGACTGGAGGAGAACGACTTAAGAAATAGTCTTCCAGCCCGCGGCCGGTTTTTTCTAATCGTCATCCCGGGCGCCGCCGCGTGAACACGGCCCCCAGTCATTTATTAATCGTCATCCTCCATTACCACGAGCAAGCCTGACCCCAACAACTTCTTTGTTTGTTATGGCCGGCACTATGCTGGACCCCAAAGGGTGTTATCTTGGATAAATGGTGGGTCTGCCAGCGACTGCGAGACGGCTGGCTCGCGAGCTGTCAAGGGAGCGCCTGTGGAATTTCCCTCCTGGGCGTGGTGGTCGGCAGCGTCCAAGACGGGGGGCGTCCAAGACGGGGGTGTGCAAATCATGGCTCGAGGCACGTGCGCGGACGCGGGGAGAGGGGATCCAAGGGATGCGCTGCCAGCCCTGGCCATGATGTCCCCCCTGGTCTTCACCCCCCTCTTGGCCGCCCCCGACATGGGGGGGATCACGCGACGCACCCCGCGGGCGTGCCTGTGGTGTGTGCACTGCGTCTGCGAGCGCGAGCAGTGCGCCTGTGCGCCTGCAGCCGCACACACTGCGCGCGCCGTGGCCGTTCGCGCCACACAGTGCCTGCAGTCACTGGCGCGGCGCCTGTGAGCCACCACGGTGGCCTGCGAACACCAGCGCGGCGCCGGTGGGCACCCGGGTGAGCACCGGTGGCCTGGGAGGAGGAGGGGGAGGGAGGGGAGGGGGGGAGGAGGGCAGAGGGATGGGGAGGACAAGGAGGCGAAGGAGAATGAGGGAGC